ACAAAGTACGTACCAAAGTACGTACCTTGTACGTACGTTAAGCGTTCTCAGCCCTTAAGATACCCGAGTGTTTCTCCGCTTAGCCACTTTTGTGACAAGTTTTTGCTTTAAATATCCCAAGTCCCTCACATACTAGATTTGGGCTGGGTAAAAGTCAACATTCCTTACAGAAGATTCAACCTTCCTCTCCAACCGAATGCTGAAAACTCAGTATCTCATTTCAGATTTTAAGACGAACATACACAAAGAGCAACTCAATGGCAAGAAAAGCAGTCACCTCAAATTTGCATATAATTTCTCTACAAAACATCGCTTCAAAAATTAATCCAGTTCAACAAAGTACTTTAACCCTGTAAAACAAATGACAGACTCAGTACTTGGCTAGTTGTAGTCTTTTTACATAACATATTACGCTGTGGTAGTAGATCATATTGAATATGTAATCATCAAACCACAAACAAGGATGTGCATAACAGAGTAAAAATGCAATTGTTATTCTAGGATCACATGTCAAGAGTTTGTGTACAAAACAAAGGTAATTACTCCACTCTCCTAGGCTATGGGGCAGTTTCAACTAGATTACCACTGCCAGATTACTGCTTCCTACATTGGAAAGACGCTTTAAAAAAAAAAAAAAAAAGGCTCCAGGAGAGAAAACAAAATTAAGAGATCTAGCATCACCAAGAAGATTTGTCAAAGCATCTCATTTTGTTTTCTGAGAAACAGATGTTTCTCAAACTACATGTCGTATTTCTTTTCCTTCTCTTCACTTTCACTCTGCAATACATTTGGAAACACTCCCCATGTGTAAGCCCATAATGGCCTGGCATTTCACACCCAACATCCCTGTCTAGTCTGGCAGAGCTTGCCCGGTCCAAGAAGCAAAGAAGCACTCAGCTACGGCCTTTCACTTGGAGATGGTGTTTGTCTCCAGTTACCAGAAGCTCCCCAGCAGCATAATTGAAACTGCTGGACTAGGAAGTAAATGACTGGGTAGGGGGGAATGGGTAACCAAATAAAAATTTTAGACTGATCAAATCTTGGACACATTCCCTAGTGGGAAGGCAAATAGCAATTAAACCCCCCCCCCAAGTCATTTATTGACAATTTAAAATCTGAGTATCCAGTAATGACAGCATTTCTTGGTACAGGAAGTAATATCTGCAGTAAAACATATCTGACGTGCACTGTTACATTCTTCTACAAAGATTTCCCATTCCTCTCATTTACTCTACTGGAAAACTTCTCCATCAAATTCTGCAAACTCAACATGCTTTTTGGTGAAGGCGTCTCTAACACGCTATAGAAAAGCCACATTTATAGGTGGGACTGCAGGTGGTCATCTGCAATTACTGCAACTGTTCTTCATTAGGTTTATCCCATCTACAAACAGATACCACGTAAAGCTAGACAAGACAAAATACTGCTACCTTTATCTTCTCCCTCCTTGTTTAACTGTTAATTTTATTGACATTTCAGCAGAAATCTCTTGGGAGAGAAGTATTTTTATTATAGTGAGATATGCTATGCAGACACATAATCTTAGACTTATAGATAAACACAGTATAAACTGTGCCTGACAGTATTATTATTAGAATTACATTTTTAAACTGCAGCAGAATTCGAGCCTGTAACATCAGATTACGGCTAATATCAGCTTTCAAAGATTTAATAAAAAATAACAACATGTTACAACTAAGCAGTAAGATCTATGAATAGAAAAATCTATTTAAAGAAATCCTCCAGCAACTTAAATGGATTTTTCCTCAATTCCACTACACAAATTCTCCATGGAATCACCATGCACATGATGACTATGTGTGTCTGTAGAACCAGATTAGATAAGATTTTAATCTCTCTTTTCTATTAGCACAGCGTTTTGCAAATTTCTACTGTGTACCTTTTTATACCTTAGTAAGTCTGTATTCCCTTTAAGGGAGACATAGGCATTTGTTCTTAAATTTTATTTTTATGAACTATTCATAAACACGCTGTAAATAAGTAACATGTACTATGCACTAAACATCAGAAGTCTTGGCATTTCCTTCAGTTTATTACATTTTAGAGCCAAGGTCAAGAACCCAATCTCACCTGAGGAGCACAGTGTTCTGGGCCTTTCCTTCTCTCTCACTCCCATCTTCCCTTAAGATGTATCTCATGGGATAGCAGCTCTGCAAGATGCTTTGCTCTCATATGTATCACCTTCACCCCAAGTAACCTCTGGAAGTTCCTTCCACAAGAACCAGCCATTCTTTCTCATCTGGATTTCCCCAGAAGAGTTAACGTACAAACGTTCGTTGGAAGGGACCTCGGGAGGTCTTCTAGTCCATCTTCTCATTCAAATGATTAGGGCTATTAACAAACACGAGATGAGGTGAACCACAGCTTTGCCTAGCCAAGTCATGAAAACCTCCAAAGTTTTCCAAGAAACCTTCAAAGATGGAGATTCCACAGCCTCTATCGTTTCCAATATTATACTAACTTCTTACTAAAAGTTTTTCCTAATGTCCAATCCGAACCGCTGCTATCCTCCTTCAGAAATGCCTGTCACTTCCCATCATGTGCAAAGGAAATTTAAAAGTTTCTTTACTAGACTCTTCCAGGAGTCTCAATACCGGAAGCCATGTTTCACAAATTCAGCTACACTTCTCACAAACTGTTTTTATTACTACAAAAGTAGGAACAACACTAGCCAGCTGAAGATTTTTAAATGGAGGATCACGCAAACATGCCTAGGCATTGTATCCGCATCAGATACTTACATTCAGCAAGCACCGCCATTTTACTGTCCCCACTTTTACTACAACCACAGCATCTAGTCATTGCAATCATGTTTTCTTTCATAAGGCTAAATGTTGCTTTAGCCTATCTATACTTGTATCTGTAATCTTCTCAATTCTACTTTGTAGGCACTTATCAACAGATAAACAACCTCAGTTTAAGCAACAGTCAACCATTCCCCCTGCCCCACCCCATATCAAATTTGGCTCCAGCAGAGATGATTAAATACTCACATCCTCCAAGAAACATATACTGACTCAACAATGGTACCGAAAAACGTCCAGAAGTGTCTTATACTGTCTGGTTATTAATTACTTGACTAAAAGTGCTTTTCTGAGCCTGGCTCAGCTTTTAGGTACTGTCAAATCCATGGCAGTATTTGGGCACCAAACGTCACGTGTATCGTGTAATTTTCAATCTTAAGTCCTTTTGTGGATCTGCTCTTTTTCAAACATCCAGCTTTTCTCCCACTTTAGTCAGTTTGACTAACTACTTTGCTTCTAATCAGAGGCAAAGGTTTGCAAAATGAGTCTAAAGTTCACTAGGAAACTAAGTGCAGTTACCTTTTAAAAAAGCCACCAGCTTAAACAGCTTTAAAATATGTAATGTTAACAAGACAAGATGAAACAAACTCAGTTTGACATTGTATTCTCTCCTTCCATTGGTTAGAAGCTGTGAAGATATAAATTTTCAATCTCCTTCTTATGCATCATGTAAAACCAACATAAAAGTTCAGGTTCAAGAACTGGAAGCCTGCAACTACAAATGTTGTATATTTAAACAGCTAAATCCCATGTTTAAATAACAATGCCAGATGTCACCAACAAGTTTTAAGTCTACCACTACAGAAAAGAAGTCAGGGAGGCCCAGCTGCGATGCTCCTGAAATGAACGGTATTCTGTTAGAAGCAACCACACTCTCACTATTTGAAATTACCAAACCACTGTAAAGTTTTATGGCCAATTATTGCTTCAGAGTCATGATATCACTCCTTAAATATCATAGCAGTGGCTTCTCCTAAACACAATCAGAGACAACTCAGAAATTTCAACACACTGGCATTAGTAACAGGTGACAGCTAATTGGATGGATATTTAGGGCTTCCCTTGACAGACCAAAAAAGAATATTAAATATTTTCACAGTCTCACTCAATTCCATATTTACAGATATGTCCAGATCCATGCCAGCACTTCCTGTATTACATATCTGTTCAGTGATTTGTTTTTGTTGGGCTGCTCAAGCAACATCTTGGAATATATACTTCCTATATAAGTTTTCAGTTACATACTTTCCATTACATAGGAATGAAAATAACAGCAGGTCTAGGTCTTCAGGACTAGCTTTTTTCTTTTTTTAATCCTTTCAGGAACTCACTCTGAAAATAGTCTTTAAAGTATGATAAAAAGAAAAAAACTACTTTAAGTCAGCAGAGTGATACCTACGTCCCTTTCAGCTAAGGCACGCCTTCCGTGCAACTTTGACGGATCTACCTCTTCTGCATATACCTGTGACTTGTACAGCTGACCAGTTGTTAACCAGGGAAAAGAATCCTCACCTATATGCTACTTTATCAAAATCAAATTCCCTCTTCCCACAAAAAGGGTAGCCTTAGACTGGTAGCCTTAGACATTTTGTTTGCATTCACCTGAGCCCGAACCCTGTTTCTGCCCTTCAAAAGAAATGGGATATTTCAAAATAATAAACAGTAAGCGATATTATTAAGATTACTGCTACTAAAGGAAAGCATTGATCATACTTCAGGATAACTTCAGGATAACTGTAGCCAGGTTTTAAGACTATATTGCTCTCGCTAAAAATCAGAAGTCTATAAGCCCTTAAAAAGCAAAATTTTAGCACTTGCAGGCACATGACGTGCAGCGTTGAGTAACACTGATGAAACGCCCACTTCAAAAACATGACGGTACGCTCTCAAAAACCTCCTCGGGTCACTTTCTATTCAAAAAGCAGGAGTCCTTCTACTGCTGACACCCGACTTCAGCCGCCAGACCCGTAGCACCACCCAAACCGAAACCTTACTGCCTTACGGAAAGGGGACAGAGAGGGGGGGGGCAGGCAGCCCCCAAGCTCGTCAGCCACGACCACCTGAAAGACGAGCTCCAGCTCCCCGAAACCCCCTCCCCATCGCGTTCACCGACGCAGCTCCCTGCTGGCCGGGGCAGGAGAGGCCAGGCGCGGGCACCGCGGCTCCCAGGCTTACATGGCTTCTTGGCATCCTTGATCTTCATGGCGCAGCAGCGGCGGCCGGGCT